ATTAATGTTTACAGAGATTGTTTGGAGTGATGAAAAAGTATCGTTGTACAATATGTTAATGTAAGTATTGCCATTGGATTGGTATACTTAAAATGGCTAAAAGAGCAAATTTTATCACACCAAAATTTTTTTTAAAGAAATTGGGTTAGGTTAGTCAACAAGGTACAGTCTCTCAACATCTGAACTCATACTTTTAAAAAGATTTTATTGAGGGCCGGCTGAGTGGCGCATTGGTTAGGAGTTGGCTTGGGACGCCAGCTCTGAGCAGCAGGGCCCCGGTTCGAATCCATGAGGGCCAGTGACACTCGCCCTCTACAGCTAAGATGGTGAACAACAGCTCAACCTGGAGCTGGGATGCCGTTGAGTTGCCGGCGACGGTGTGGGCTGCAGTGGGCTGCCGTAAAGCTACCGTGAGTGGCTGGCAGCCAGCGTGAGTGGCCGGCAGCCGGTGTGAGCAGCCAAGAGCCGCCGTGAGCGGCCGTCCAATGGCCGACGAGCGATCTGCCTCACCCGGGAAGAGCATAATACGAACATGGGCCAGTGAAGCAACATCCTCTACAACTAGACTGAAGAACAAAAGGACAGCAACTTGTCTGTTCCCCTTCCCCAATTCCCCAAGAAAATCTTAAAGAAAAGATTTTATTGAGATATAATTGGCAAAACATGGTATAAATTTGTGTATATTTGATATACGTATATATTGTGCAATGATTACGACAAAAAGATTAGTTAACACATCTATCACCTCAGATAGTTACTTTGTGTGGTGAGAATATTTAAGATATTCTCTTAGCACCTTTCAAGTATACAATACACTATTGTTGACTCTTGACACCATGCTGTACCCAAAATTTATATATGGGCGTTCATACCATTTGACCAACAACTCCCCATTTCCCCCAACCCCCAATCTACTCTCTGTTTCTATGATGAACCCATACTTTTAACATGAGTGCTATTTGTATGTTGACATTCTTTTGTAACCCAATGAAATAATGTAAAAATGTAAGTCGCCTGGCAGACAGAAAATGGCCCGTTTTATTGAAGTATATGTACTGAGAGATCCTTATTCTTTTATCTGGTCCTGTTTTAGTTGCTTCTGAAAGGGAAAGTCCACAATTAATGATACATCCACAATGTAAAGTTTCCTAGTTTAAAATTTTGATTACATTTCAATCCACCATACCAAGAAGAATTAGACCTCAAAGATGTAAACTGGCTGTTGCTCTAGTTCAGGTTTCACCAGGACCTTATCTGATGCTCTGTGGGTACAGGGTGTTTAATAGCCTATGCTTTTACAGTATTGCTGGATTAAGCCACTATCTGTAATCTAGCTGATCCTATTCCTCAAACCCCTTAGGCCAATTTTTGCCCAAGAATCACTTAAGCAGGATCAGGTCAGATTTTAATGGGACAGAATGAGATCTAGTGATTAAGGTAATTTTCAGCTTGACAATCTCAGAGGTTGGGCTAGACTAGATCTTAGAGATAAGAGGTGCAGTAATACTATAAGATTATCACATGGCTCTAGTTTTTCTTAAAATCAAATGGAATAAAAATTACCCTATAAGCAAGCTCTTCATCGTTCTGTAACATCAAGAAATGTGAAGGCTGGTAGACCCAAAAGAAATAGTCTCTGAATGTGGGAGGCTGAAGACTAGCCATTACTGTAACAAATTTGTCCTGTAAGTAGGAAAAGGGTCGAACTACACTGTCATCAGTGGGTACACATGGAAGTCACACAGACTTTTCACTTGAAGAACATCTTTATTTGATCTTTAATATACAATATTACCTTTAATTTATAAAAATTACACATGGAGGACATGAGCAGGATCGGTTCAAGAGCGGCTAGCAAACACCGATTTATTTAAGAGGTTACACTTATCCCACTTAGAAGTTTGAGAAAAATTCTGTCAGTGAATCTGAGACCAGTGAGACTGAGGAATGGCATTTCAACTTCCAAATCCAGGAATTAAAACTGGGGATACTTTAAAAAATTAATCCAACAAAAGCTCCTTTCTCAATTTTCTGAAAACTCATGTTCCCCAGGAAAGAGCTGAGCTTATCTCCACGGGGTTTTATGGTATGCAACCTGCAGTGGTAGTCAGGGCTGCAAGACATTTGCAGTTGGTTTAAAATCCTCTGCATATGAGCACGCATGCATGTGGGTTCATTGGTTTGTCGTCTCACTTACTTTCACACTGAACTGTCTAGTATGTTGGACCTAGAAAGGCAGCTCATTTATAATATGTGATCCCTCTGTCACTCTGAATTACAGGCCTCCCCTCAATTCCCCGAAATAGTGAAATATTTGATAAACTTAAAAAACCCTATTATCTCTCAGGGTGATTGGTGCATCGCGATGTATCTGCTAGTAATATGGTGTTGTGTAATTTCATGAGTTCTGCTGGCTCAGGCTAAGAGTTTAAAATGGATTACTGGTGAAACCATGGAAGTGTAAGGTTGACTTATAAAGGATTTGAGGAGAGTTATGCAAGCAAGACAAGAGGGAGGGGAACTGTCCTTTTGGAAACATCTTTTCTCTCCAGTGCTCAGATTTCAGCAGTTTTGGAGGTAACGGGGGCGATACCTTTTTGCAGCCTGAAAAAGGAATGGTGACTGCCAGATGGTAAATGAGGCACGTAACCCATTTTCTGTGGCTTAACATTTTTCAACAGATTGGTTTCTGCAGCACAAAGGTCAGAAATTCCATCGTATTCTTGTCATCGAGTGCTCAAGTGGAGGAATTTTTGCAGCTCCAGCAATCCAGCGTCTCGGTCCAAAAGTCAGTAAGCAGGCAGAACTTAAGAGAGAACTGCTATTTTGACACCACAGAAACGCTTCATTTTACATGGGGACTCTGGAATTGTGGCATTGAGTGACAAGGCAAGGATACTAAGAACAACAACAAAAAATGTGCTTCTTTCTTAATAGTTGCATCGTATTGAAACCTGAAGATTCCAGAGGAGTCTATTTTCAAGACAACAAAATATAGAGCTTTATGTTTCACAAATACATATGCCCGTACTTACACGTCTTTTTGCTTTAAAAATGAACTATGTAACGCAAACACAGAGATAAGATGTAGATCAAAGACTGCGGAGTCTTACACAAATTAAACCTGGGATCAAGGGTTAACAGCCGTGACCCATGGGCCAAATCCAGCCCTCCCGGCTTTGGAACACAGCCGAGCCCCTTAATGTACATAGTGCCTATACCTGCTTTCATGGTTCTAGGGCAGAACTGGGGAGCAGAGACAGGGGCTGCCTGGCTCACAAAGCCTGAGATATCCATTATCTGGATCTTTACAGAAAAGCTTTCTGAGCCATTGAAGATCAAAAGGAACATCTCCATCACAATCAAAACGAGCTGAAGTAACAGAAAACCATCATCGCCCATGTTCTTGAACCTGAATAAGGCCATTAAAATATTTCCAGGTCATATTTGGTTACTCAAGTATTCTGCTTAGAATCAGTGCAGCCAAAGCCAGTTAATAATTATTTAATTAATGAACACAGACAGTATTAAAAATCTGTGTATAACTATTTATGTATGTAGCTATGTAAAGAGTAGTAACATGAGCTAGACAATTCGAGGGTAAGGAGACCTGAAGAAAAGTAAGAGCTGAAAATATGATGACTAGAACTGCTATTTGGAATGCAGAAATATTTTAGTGTATTTTTCTTTATATTTAGTAGCATGGGACCATTAGGAGGACCCGTAGCAGAGCAAAAACAATTTACAACTGCTAAGCTTTACCCATGAACTATGTGGCAACATTTTTTGAATATAAAATAACAAACATTTCTATAAAACATTATTTTTTAATTATGTAATGAAAGTGATATAGCAAAATAAGAATGTTCTTATTTATTTCTAAATATTTTAGTCAGTTGCATCAAAGATCAAGTATTTCTTTGACCTTCTCCAAGAGGCTTGAGTTATTAACTACAATTATAGCTGTTAGTATTATACAGTAACACAAGGCTTAAAATATATTATAAACACTTTCTTTTACTCTTTAATTTAAATGAAATACAAAATTAAGGGTTTTGTAAGATGATTCGTACTGGAAAACATTTAAAATGGTATGAACTACTCTTACACAGGAATGCCACTGGAGTCACAAAATGCTCTAATGCGTGACAGTGCCTAGCATAATGCTTGGCACTTAGTAGGACTCCACGTTCGTCCACTCATTCCCTCATTCTCTCATGCACTCATTCCAAGAAATCCCAGTAAGGAGAAGTGGCCTCCCGAGAATGGCAAGCACAATCTTTAATCAACATACTTGTAGTTTTGACAAAGACTTTGGCAACAGAGAGTGGAGCTGAAAGGGTGATCGAAATTTCAAACTGCTTGGTTCAAATTTACCAAGTGAAGCCCGGGGCTGCCCCAGATGACATCACAGAAAATCAGGGTCAGTATTCCCCAAAAGGAATCCATTCCTTGGATGATCCGGGTTTTAATTTTATATATAAACATCTCAAAGACAGGAATGAACTGGTGTCAGAGACACAGACAAGCACACACCCACCAGAAAGAACCCTCTGACTGGGGACTTCTTTTCCTGCACTGAGACTGCTTTTTGGTCAGGACCATGTTCTCTTGGCTTTAACAACTTTATACTGGTTTGAACAAAAAGGTGTGAAATGTAGAAAGGTAGAGGGGCGTTCGCATCTCTCTCTTTTTTCTTTTATGTACCAACTGATCTATCTACTTTGCACAATTGTTGCCAAAGGCACAAAGTAAGGTGTCAGCTCTTTGAGGAGACACCTAGAAAGGAGCATTTTCAGGCTCTTTGCAGAAGGTCTTATAAATGTAATGAGTTGTTTAACCTGAGTAATAAGGTCTACAATATGCAAAGGACTGTAAAGCACAGAAAGAAGAAAGTAAAGAATACTCTTGGAAACTAAGCAGAATATGGCCTAAGGATTGATCTTGGAGGAAATCATTTTAAAAATCTTGTAACAAAAATAAAACATGACACTGGCAAGTCATTTGTAGCTGACTTTAATCGCCTTTGGTATTCAGAAGAAAAAAACGGAAGCACTGTTATAAGCTCTAGTCTTCTCATCAATCACAGGCAGGCAGGCGGGTGGGTGGTGAGGACCCTCCCACTGTCCCTGTCAGTCTCTGCTTGTGCCGGAACTGGCCATGCTCGTCCACGTCTCCCTTCTCTCAAGCTTCAGTCACCTGAGAAAGCGACAGAGCACTTAGGAGTGGGGCTTCTGTCTTCTCATTCCTTGACAAGCTCCTGGGAACCAAGAAGGCCCCTTCACTGCATTTTCTAAACAAAGCGAGGGAGGCTTCGTCGTCATCTACACAGCTGCTCTGGGTCCTTGCCAACTTGAGCTGTTCCCTTTTTTTGGAGAACCAAATACTTTCCCTTTCTCTTCTGAACTTAGTCATCTACCCTTCTTTAAAATTTTTAATTGTTCAAGTAGTAGAAGATATTACAATTTCAAAATATGTGCTAAGATGTAACTCTCTTAAAGACTTAAATAACGCAACTGGCTCCACACCCCCGTTTTCGATGTACACGGGAAAGTCTCGGGGTGGTTATCAATACTGATCATGGGCTCAACTGTAAGCATTGTCTGACTAGTTGTGGCATAAGATGACCCCCGTTGGAAAACAATAAATTACATTGATTTATTAAATCTTTTCCCAATTTAAATCTACCACATGCTCATAAAAATTTAAAAAGAAAAGCTATCAAAATAAGGAAATAAGCCCTCAGAATTCCAAGGTGGGCTTCTTGCAGAAACATTGTTTCATGAAAGCTTCAAATGCAGAGTAAAGATTAGCCTAATTATACTCCTCCCAACGTTTATTCTCAATGGGAGCTGTTTGCATTAAATGTAAAGAAGAAAAATTGTCTTGCACTGTGACATAAATTCCAGGGACAGAAGATTTATAAGTGTTAGATATTTATCTTACAATATAGTTCTTGATAAAATTTAAGTTCTTTTTGCGAAATCTATTGATGGTAAGAGCAAGTCCCTTAGCTATATCCCAAATTTAGTGTAATACAATTAATTACACCACAATTTTATCACTAAAAATTATTTTGAAGCTATTTTGATTAACTCTTTGGACTTCTATAACTATCCTTAGAGAAAATAAAAGTTGAATTTATTTCTTACATAAAATATTGGTGAAAAGCTCACTCATCTGATGAGAAAATAAATAAAGGATCCCCTGTCCCCATTTCAGATAGACTATTTAGACTGTATTTTGTCTTTGATTTAGTTAAGTTGTAAAAGTAATTTGACTCATCAAGGTAAATTCAGAGCATAACAGTATCGTGAATTTGGCCAAGCCACATAAATAAAGTTGTAAGTTAAGGGATGCTACTAAGTTTATAATGAGGTTAAAATGGATAAAACTTTCTTGGTAGATTTGCTGGTTTAGGAAAATCATCCCCTACCAACAAAACCAAGGCTTTCTCCTAGAACAGGTTTCAAGGCAACCAACTGTGGCATTTCCCCCACTTCCTGTCATGCTAGCGACACTAGACTGGACCACATGCACGAAATCCCAAGCCTAGGCTCCTAAGCGGTTATGACAAACAGCAGTTTCAACGGTTCCATACAGACACAAAGACTTGAAGGACATTCTTTGTGAGATCGTGCCCCCGAGAAAACGAAATTTAACCAAGAAGTTTCAATGGAACAGACTGGGATTTGAAATGGCTGCCGGTCTGGCTGCCCGACGGGGAACGCGAAAGCTCAGGCAGGAAGAGGTGTTTCTGTTTCTTTGCCAAGTCTTCTTGCTGTCGGTGCAGCTCTGCCGTTCTCTCGTTCCTGTCATTCCATTGTGAAAGATGGAGGAAAAAGGGGTAAACAATGTGTACATATCTGACTTGAAAGCTGCTCCTCTGTGGGAGGAAACAAATATAAACTGGTTCCAAAGGCCACCTCTCGCTCCTGCGACACGCCCCCCATTCTTGGCTGCTTCTTAGGGAGTGAGGTCTCCGGATTCCAGGACTCTAAAAGCAGTATCATAGCAACAGGCAGAATTTCTCCCATGACCACCTCCTTAAGAATCACAGCACGTCAGGTCTCTGTCCTACACATACCGGAGTATGGTTTGGTCAGGTACAAAATGGAATTCTTTCAAAGCTGAGATATGTACAAGTGGCAAAGTCTTCTGGGGAGTGAGTCGTGGTTCGCCCTGCCACGCTGACGCCAGAGGTCCAGGTTTCCAAATGTCCCCTCTCCAGACTGACTTCTGCAGTGGTCCATGTAAACAAAACACAGGTGAGAATGGTCTTTCTGGGGCTGCTTTCATCGAACAGCAGGGTTTCCTGAAAGTGTGGTGTTGGCTAAATGCAACACGGGCAGAGGGTGAGCCTCTGTATTGAACACCCAGTGGTCTAAAGGTAAAAGGTCATCACCGGAGAACAGCAGGTACAAATACCTGAAAACAAAAGGAGAAATGAGCTTCAATTAGAGTTCAACGAGAGGATCACGTGACCTGTTATAACGGCAGAGGACACCGTAACCTGTTCTGAGCAGCTCTGATGAAAAACGCATCAGAAGACCAGCCTCCATCACTCCAATACCCTCCAACACAAGAACAGCGTGTTCTGGAATAGCGCACATGCAGACCTCTGAAACGACCCAGTGAAAAAAGCAAATCCCACACACCTGTTAGACACACATCAAACAATGCTGTAAAATGGTCTAAAACAAAACACTTCATCATTTTCAGACACGCTTTTAAAAATAACATATAGTATCAATCATATGTTTTGGCACCTTACGCAGTATAACTACAAGTTAATTAATTTGCATTTATGAATAAACACTGAAGGAAATAAGTAAAGTACATTATTTGGACACAGCAAGGACTTTTACTCCTTAAACATTAATAGTTTTTGCAGGTACTGCAAACTGTTCAATAAAAGTTTCAGAAACATGGACTGATAGGTTAAATAATTACGAGTCTCTCTCATGGGTAAGAGTGTTGTTTATATGAAGGCATATAAACCTCTCCATGAGCTCTGCAAGCCACAGTGGTTAAATAAAATTGATAGAAATTAAAAATGATAGATTTGACACACACAATGCTCCTTACCTATGATGCTGGGCAAGTTCCAGTCTGAATTCCTTCAGGGGTCATGAGCGTGAGCATAAAAACTAACTTAGAGTCAGGACATCTGGGCTCTGACTCTGGATCTTAGCACCACCTGGCTGGGCCTCACTAAGCTCCAGTGAAGAAGTCCTTTGTGGAAGTTTATCTACAACTTATTTATTTAAAAAATGGGCACATTAATATCATCTCTGAATACTGTTACAGGTCTGGATGAGAGAGTAAAACCACACAGCACGGAGGGAACTGGTAAAGCTGGAATAGGGGGAACCAGGGGCTCCAATCCCACTCCTTGGCCGTGAGACCTGCCTGACCCTGATGTATTCGCGGGATTGCAGGCAGACACCGCAGGAGGCCCTGCTGTCCGCTGGCCCTGCTTACGGTGTGGAGATCAAAAGCACAGCTCTGGGTGTCTGGGAACAGACAAGTCTAGGAAGGCTGCATTCTACGCCATTCCATGTCTCGTCGTGTCCCTTGGTTAAATGTGGGCTAATGGACCAGGCTCTCTCTCATGTCATCACTTCTTGGGAGAGAAAATGCAAGCGTTTCCTGAAAAATGAGTCCTTTCCATGGGAGGCGCTACGGAAGTACCTCATGTAAACATGCCTGTTATAAAAATCAGTAAGATAATGAATGTGAAAGTTTTGGATAACAAAAAAATGATATTATATTAAAGCCATCATTTTAAAGACAGGATCTTAATTAACTACTACTTTGGGGAGGCTGAGTAGTGCCTCACCCCAATTCATTTCCACCTAGAGCCAGACTGTGATCTTATCTGGAAACAGGGTCTTCGCAGATGCAATCATCCTGGACTTAGGGTGGTGGGCCTTGAACCCAACGACTTGCATCTTCACAAGAGAAAGGATGGGGAGAGCTGGACCCAGACACACACAGGGAGGAAAGTCATGTGAAGACAGGCAGAGACTGAAGCTGTGCTGTCACAAACCAAGGAATGCCTTCAGAGAGAGCCGACTCCAGGTTGCTGCCTCCAGGACTGAGAATACATTTCTGTTACGCCACCACGTTTGCGGGCATTTGTTACGGCAGCGCTAGGAAGCTGCTGCTTGGTCCTGGGGGGTTAGAGCAAGGCTGACCGCTTCTGGGAGAGCCAGCCTCCTTGAGAGCAGAGGCTGACAGCAGACTTTTAAAAATGTATAACAAATCGATGTTGGAAATTAAAGCAGTATAGCTAATAACTTTTTCACTTGGGATTACACATTCAGAAAAGGATGTCAAGGGCATGATATTCTATTACTGATTTAAATTTAAGGTTTTTAACTTGGATTTTAAAAATACAACAGTTCGAGAAGAATTATCTTTGCTGTGAAAGTTGAAAAACATCTACGATTAGTTCTAGATATTTTTTCTTCTAATAAAAGATTTTTAAAAAATTATCGTTCAGGATGAAGAGATAATAGATGACAAATGGCATTGACAAAAGCATGTAGGTATATGCGTACAAAAAGATGCTTAAGTACTTCAGTTTTATTGGATGTCTTGCTTGCTTTTTAGAACTATTTTTAAATACTGTTCACATACATTTCTTTTATCTTTCTCTTATGTAAAGACAAGACACTCAGAGGAGATGGTGGTGCCAGAAGTGATCTACATAAATGTTGGTGCTAACCGAATCGAGAAGTTTTCAGAAAGAAAAGTCAACCAAATCTGAGGAGAAACATTCAAGTGTCTACAGAAATGGTAAGGCCTTAAAAGAGCCAAAAGAGCCAACCACCAAGTTCATGTGCTCTTACTTAGTCCTTTGTTTTTCTTTATGAAAACGAGCCTTGATGACTCAGTTATTCTTTTTCACAACCATCAGTGACAATGTCAGGTGTATTAATGATGAACGTTACAACTCTAAAAAGGATGGCATTAAGGTCGACAAGGAACTCCTAAGAAAAACTGAAAAACGATTTACTTAAAACTTCCATTTCATTTATACTGCGACTGTTTAAATAATGTCTTTGGAACACACTGGTTAGAAACTAAATTAAATTGAAGATAATTAGTGGAAATTATATCCTAAAAGATGGTGCACTAACGCATACAATTATTAATCTCTCCCAAAGATCTGTCCCTCTGCCCTTCCCCACATTTTCCAAAAAAATCTTAAAGGTGTTTTCTGGGGGGAATGAGTGGGAAGAAAAAATAATGAAATAAACATGGGTATACTATGGATTCAAATGCAAAAGACGTGCACTTTTTAAAGGCTAAAGGCAGACATTTCCGTTCCTGTCGTGGTTTAGGCTTTGTTCTGAAATATCAGGGAGCTAAAGGGAATTCACTGCCCTCTGCCTTCAGGGGTCAAATGAGTCAGGATGACCTTGTGCACAGGAGGCAGGACACCTAACCTGCACACTGTGGGGTTATCTCATATAACAAACAGACCAGAGGCAACTGGTAACAAAGGTGGGTTAAGTCGCAGTAAAACATTGTCAGAGCTCCCTGTAAAGGTTAATGATAAAATATGAAAATTTTCTTGGTGCTAAAAGACCTTAGCCCTTCTTTCCATTTTCTTAGATCACTGCCTTGAAAAAACTTGTAATTGTACCTTTGATATGTATGTGAATCTATTTAAAAGCTAAATAAACCTGCCAGTTTTCCAATCCCAGAATATTTTTCTTCAGGGCCAAGGAGCTTGTCTTTGAAATGTAAACATGGAGGAAGATAGCACCCCTATCTCCCTGTCACTGTGGGAGGTTTGCTTATGCCTTTCTCAAAGCTGTAATTCAGACAGAAGTATTATTTTTCCTTTGGATAAAGGCAATTAATTAACACAAATGGCCCCCTAATTACCACATGAGTTTCAAATGAACTGTGTCTAGCAAGCGGTGCTGTGGACAAAGTACTCTTACATGAGACAGAAGTCACCATGTAGCCTCACGTATGTAATGGATTGTGTCCAACCTGGTTGGTTGTACAGCAAGGTGAGATTTCTTTCTGTCTTTGCAATCTGCCTGTGATGTAAATTAAATTGCAGTTGGGCTTAATGCTTATTCAACGAAAAAATGTTTTCTTTCTCCGCTACATTTGTGGAAAGGATTTTCTGGGTTGGCAGGTTTTGTTTTTAAATTTTTTCCACAGTAATCAGAATCTCGGTTATATTCACGACTTTTTCCTCGGAATTTTAAGATGCTCCCTACCTTACAGCTCCACACAAAAAGTCCAGTCAGCAAGTAAAGGCGGACATCTTTTCAGGTTTGGGTCTATGTTGAATTCTAACAGGGTGTAGTGATATCTCTTTTTAGTTTTAATTTGTACTAACAATGTTGAGCATGTTTTCATGAGCTCACTTGTCATCCTTGTATCTTCTTTGGTGAAGTGTCTGCTAAACTCTTTTGCCTGGTTTTAAATTGGGTTGCATGTTATTGTCAAGTTTTGAGAATTTAATTCTAGATACAAGCCCTTTATCAGATATATACTTTGCAAAGATTTTATCCCAGTCTGCGAATTGTCTTTTCATTGTTTCATTTGATTATCTTTCATTCTCAAAGAGCAGATGTTTTTAATTTTGAGATGAATTGATTAATTCTTTCTTTTATGGATTATGCTTTTGATGCAATATTTAAAAAGTCTTTGCCCAGCACAAGGTCACAAAATCTTTTCTATGTTTTCTACTAAAAGTTGTATTTTTGGGTTTTAAAGTTAGGTCTATGGTCCATTTTGAGTTTATTTTTGTATATGCATATAGAAATTCAATGATTCCAGCCAGCACCCTTTATTGAAAAGCCCATCTTTTCTCATAGTATTATCTTTGTGCCTTTGTCAAAAGTCAGTTGTCCATATATGTATTGGGGTCCCCCCCTCCACCCCCCGACCCCAGATTCCCTATTCTATTTTACTGATAGATCTAGATCTATCATTACACCAATATCACCATGTTTTGATCATTACAGCTTTATTAAGTCTTAAAATTAGGCAGTGGTAGGCTTTAAACTTTGTTCTTTTTAAAATTTGTTTTGATTACTCTAGGTTCTTTGCATTTCCATATGAAATTTAGAAACAGCTTATTAATTTCTACAAAAAGAAAGCCTCCTGTGATTTTGATTGGGATTGCATTGAATCTGTAGATCAATTTGGGCAGAAGTGACAATATTGAGTTTTCAGAACCATTAACAAAGGGAATCTCTCCATTATACTTAGGTCTTCAACTGCTCTCAGCAGTGATTTTTAGTTTTCAGTATACAGGTCTTTTATGTGTTTTGTCAAGATTTATCCCTAAACATTTCATATCTTTATGCTACTGTAAGTGGTGTTTGTTTGTTTAGTTTCCATTTCTGACTGTTCATTGCTAGTATATACAATTGATTTTAAAATATTAA